TGACCGGGAAATTGACCAAGTACTGGACGAGATAAATGGAAAAAGTGAGCAAACGCAAAGAGGACCAAAAAAGTTAAGCGCAAAAGTTGGTCATTCAAAAAGGGAAGAAGAGAGAATTAGGGAAAATAACGAAGGTTATAGTATAGTCTCAGTTCTTGGCAAAGTTTCTCGCTAATGAGAGTAAGAGTTTTTCCTATTTTGCGGTGCAAACTTGTAACTTGTCGCACTTCCTGTTTTCCACCATTCGCAATTGCCTCTCTATCTTTTGTTGTTTATTTGGCTTAATCAGTTTGGCCCCTTCTTTTTTAAGCGCACTTGCTGGCATAAATAATTCATGGGCAAAATATTGGGCCAGTGCCAGAACTTTTAATTAAATCAAAGTTGACTTTAATTAAATACTTGAATGGGCGAGGTCGAGAGTGGCTGCGTAACAAAGGCGAGCCCAAAAACGTTCTTGAAAAAGCTATTAAGCCTTAAAGTCTAATAAAATAAACAGTAAACACACTTAATGCCTTGATTACCAGCATCAACATGGGGTTCAAAGTCCGTTCCCAAGGACTCGCCACACCGCCCAAAGGAGTCTGAGGCTGAGATGTCCTGTCCAAGACGGTTTCCTCGGTGTAGTTTGCTCTCAGATTTATGCCGGACCATCCCAGGCTGACCTCAAAATTTGTGGCCACGTTGGGTGTGGGTGCTTTCATTTGGCATTTGCGTTGGAACAGGTTTCGTCTTAACTTTCCCTGCAAAACACATGTTCAGCACCAACCACAAAATACAGTGCGGTTCGAAAAGTAGAGGATATGAAAAGTATAACCAAGTTGCGTTTCGAAATCAATATCGTTAAAATTTTTGAAACCAACGACTTACATTAAAAATACTTATTTTCTTGTTTATTAAAATAAAGAGTCTAAATATCCATTTGAGTCCAGTCTATTTTTGGAAATATATATATTTTTTTGTAATTTCCAAGATTCTATCTTTAATTCTAAAATTTAAACGCTTAAAAATACATTATGAAGTCAAATTTAAAGGACTTAGAAAATAATTTCAAATTTAATTCCCTTGTATAGTCAGCTTGAGAAAATCAAAAAGGAGGAATTTATGTCTGGAACCGCCCACAAGAAGTTGCCACTTTGTTGTTCTGTTCCGTCGAGTTTGGGTCGTTACAGCAGCATGAAGTAAATTTATAGCAAATGATGTGGCTGCTCCTCGACTCCTTGTGGCTGGGTTTCTTAAAGTAAAATATTGACAGTTTGAGTCGAAGCAAGTGTAGCATAAACTGCTGTCAGGGCCACAAAAAGTTTTCTATTTCCATTTTTTTCGGGGGCAGCAACACCATCACCGACGTCTTGTACGAGAAGCAACAAGCAAAGCAGAAAGTAATTGCTTTCTCCCGCTCATCGTGACTTTGGCTTGTTGCGGTTAAGACTTTCTTCTTTGCAGCCAACGAAGGCAGCAATTGTGTACGATATTTAATTTCAGAGCTTCAAGCTTTTCTCAAAAACATTTAAAGGGGGGATGTGTGGGGGTGGAGTGATTTGGTTCAAAGCATTGAAATAATTTATGTGAGAGAAATCAGTATTGGTGTTTCTAGTTCATCCTTCTGTCTTGCTGCTTAATTAGTTACCCGATTCATTTACATTTACATTGCTCTGGCCCCGGGCACACATCCATAAATGTCTAATCATTTTAGCCCTGAGTTTGCATTGTTTATTAAATTGTCAGCTGACAATTTATGCCAGTGTCTTGGGGGCGCTAGCTGGGTTTCTACATCCTTCTCAGGATTATATTCTGTAAGGTGACACAATGTTTGTGTGGCGCAGCAAACGATTCATTTGATTTAATGCTGGCCGAAATATTTGCACTCGTGTGGCATCATAATGGAAAATAATGGCAGGGAAACTGTGATTCTGATTTTGCTGATAATTGAATATTATGTACATATTTATTCTTAAAAACAAATAAGGCTTTCAAAAGATGAAAGAGGACTTCCGTTTAATTAAGGAAAATTAATTAGTGTATATCTCGAATGAAATCAACGATGCTTTGTCACTTTTATTATATAGAATTATACACAATGCCATGTAACAAGGTATTGCAAATGCTGCCATTTTCTTTTTAATACATTGTATTACATTACAAATTCATTTTAAAATGCTTTACTATCTAAATTCGCAGAACAACAAAAATTGCTTTCATTGCGCTCAATATTTTCTAAGTCACTCTCTGTCACTATCATGACTTGAAAAACCCCATTAATTTTTTTTATTCGTAGTTTCACAGTGGGAAATCCGCATTCAATGTGTCTCTTTCGCTTTTTTCTTTGCTGGCTGGGTGTTAAAAAGCTTTTGCCGTTGCCGCTTATCAACTTTTTTCCACTTATATTTTCTCATCTTTTTGCGACGGAGAGCATATTCATTTTCCTCTTGCCAGTTCGCTTTATTTATTTTCCACCAAAGGATTTATGTTTTTGGGTTATGGCGCGTTTGTCTATCACGATTTTTTCTATAGTTTTTTTAACTATTTTATTGTCCGTTTGTCAGTTTTGATAACGCACAGAGCGCTGTTCTTAAAGCATTTTCAAATTCTATTATGTCATGACTAATGAAAAGGACAAAAAGAACGGACTTTCAACTGTCTGGCGCCTTTGCCTTGAGGCTGTGGGTTGAGCTTCATATTCTTTGAATGTAATTAGCTGCATGCCTAATTAAGTTGCAGCATTGTTTTTAAAGTTTCAAAGTAAATATCATTAAAAATTAACAAATGCAAATTTGTGTTAAATATGCATTTAATTAAGCATTTAAAACAGGAAAGCTACTACTTAAGCAATTACTGTTTTAAGCTTAATTTGAACCTTTTATATTTTTCTTTTACTTTTTTTTTGATTATTTGATAATTTGATCTACCGGAAATATGACCCTTGTAAATAATTTATATTCTTAGTAAAATTCCTTGGCAACCATTTAAGCTATTAGTTGTACATAAATAGACGTTCTATTTTTTTTGCCAAAAACTACTTTATAGAAACTGTATTGAATTCATTTTTGTACACTACGATTTCACAGAAGTATTTCTTTCTATATTAATATAATTTCGCAGGTCAAATTCTGTTGCATCTCATTAATTTTGTGCTCCTCAAGATAAACTTAAAACTGAGTTGCCTACTCTTTACTAATTACAGGCGCAATGATTTCGTTATTTCCGTTTTTGTTGCTACAAAGACATCCTGTGAGGGCAAACATCCTGCAAAGCATTTAGCAAGCTCTTCCCACCCACCAACATTCACCATTTCTTTCTGCTTCTGGTCCTGCTCCTGCAACTGCCTCTGCATATCCTTTCTGTCCCCATTTGTGGCTGGGACGGGGACTACTTTGATAGCCGAGTCTGGCTGTGTATCTGCAATAATATAATGCCATGTAATAAGGAAGTAACATTTACAAAAGCCAACTGCTTGCAACAACCAAACAAGCACATTTCCAAACGTGTGTGTAGTGTGTTTTAGATGCATTTGTGTGCTTATGGGAAAGCGGTCGACGCGTGTAAATTGCAAAGAGTAAAATCTTGTAAAAGGCAAATTCCTTTCAAATGCAACCATTGCGCCGGATAGAGAAAGGATATCCCTGCCACAGGAGCAGACGCAGGCGAGCGGGGAGAACTACTTAAAGTTGCAAGGCACTAGAAATGCAGAATGTAGAGAAATGCTGGATTCTGGGAGAAGGAGAAGGCGGTGTGGTGAAATTCACACAGCGCATTCAAGTTGACTTTTATAGTATGTCATACAACAAACATCAAGCTGGATATCACCCATGCAGTCAACCACCCACTCTGCACCTATTTGCCATCAACACCACCCCCTCAATAGCCGTTGGCTACAGATACTAAGCAAACTTTATAGTATTTTTTTTTTTTTGTACATACAAAGACAGCTTTAAAAACAACAATGGATTTTTTGTTGTAAGTTGAAAATTTGATTGAAGATATTTTCAGGTGTCGAGTAGAGGGGATAAAGATTGTAAGACTACAGGATATATTTTTAGAAGTGGAAGAGAATGCATGCCAGAATGAAGTGCTTTCAACTTGTTTGCCACTCTGTCCCTTCTCTCTCCCTTGTTGAAATTGCCTTGAATCCTCAACTGACCACAAAGTATTGCAATCTTGTTTAATAACACACAAATAATTTTTATTTTAAAATAAATAGTATTGTATTATAAAAGAGTATAAATTCGAGTATAAATAATGTTTAAATTAAATTTTTAATGAGAATTGATGGAATACGTTCGGAAAAAGTTATTTAAATAATTATATTATTGCAGAAACTTCACTAAAAATATTTAATATTATTTTTTCCTGACAATTAAATTTCAAGCATAGTGGAATGTAAAATAATTTTGGTTACAGAACAAGTAAAAGCAAAGTGCAACGAATTCTGTCTGCCTCACATATATAAAGGTATAACTTCAGCATTCCTCTTGATTTCCTTTATTTGAATGTCCCCCCAATTATTTTGACCACAGAAGCTGGAGGAGATCGCCTTTCGCCCCTCGAAGAGATGTTTGTGTTTGTGGGGGTGGCAATGTGGATATGTAGACTTGGGGATGTGGCGGGCGATGGGGTGGACAAACACTGCACACAATGTGAGTGGCAACCACTCCACCACTGCAGCCTCTCAGCCCAGAAACCCCTTTTGCCTTTCAAGCTGGCCCTTTTCTAGCTCAAGTGTTTGCATTTTACGACCACAGACAGAACGACTCAGACACAGAGTGTGTGTGCGAGTGTGTGCGAGTGTGTGTGTGTGAACTGGTTCTTTATTTTCGAGTTTGTGAGCTTAAGTGAAATGTAGCTGACCTAAGCTACAAAATAAACAGGGGATATATTGCATGCATGCCTGGTTGTGTTGTCTCAAGGTCGCCTGCTGCCTCACTCATATATCTACCTTAACTAATAAATATTCATTTAATTTTACTAATCCATTACAATTTGCCTCCCAACTTCTCCTTCAGGCAAGTAATAAGCCATAAATAAAAAATAGACAAAAAAACCTTTTTAAGAGACCAAGAAGAAGAGTGCGAAAGAAGGCCAAGAGCAGTTTTTTTCAAGCTGGAGCAAAGGCCATAAGAAACGCGGACTCACCAGCAGTATCTGCATGTCAGCAAAAAACGAACTAAACGGCCAGCAAATACAGATCGATTAGCCACATCTGAACGCAGCCACCTGATATCAATTGAGATGCTCAGTTCGCTGGACGCGCTGGCCGGCAAAATAGCCACTGCCACGCCCGGCACGGGGGCGGTAGCGGCGGACAGCAAGAACACCCAGTCGCTGCACCACCACCACCATCGCCTAGACTACGACTACTCGGCGGTGGAGATCGAGCCGCCGGCGGAGCAGCTGGCCAACTCGCCGCGCAGCGAGCGGGAGCGTTTGCAGCAGGCGCAGCAAGCCTACGAGCAGCAGGCCCAAGCGGAGCTGGAGTTCGGCCTGGCCGAGGTGGACGCCAAGCTGACCCAGCTGAAGAGCAGCCACAATCTGAGTCACCACAACCACAGCCACAATAATCACCATCAACCGCATAGCCAGCAGCCGCAGCACACGGCCAGCAGAACGCTGCAGCGGCACCCGCACCACCAGCTGCAGCACCACCAGCCCAACAACCACCACCATCATCCCTACCAGCGGCCCAGACCCACTTCGCCCCCGCAGCAGCAGCAGCAGTCGTCCTCCTACCAGCAGCAACTGTCCCAGCTGGCGGCCCTGCAGGATCACCACGATCTGCTGCAGTCGCAGCAGGAGTTGTTCCACAAGCAGCTGGCCAATATGCAGGAGTACCAGCGTGAAAGGGAGCGGGAACGGGAGCGGGAACGGGAGCGGGAGCGGGAACGAGAACGCGACAGGGATCGCAGCAGCTTTATCGATAACAGCGACTACGATTCGCAGCAGGAGTTCAAAATTTGCCTGAGGGATAGGTGAGTGTGCGAGTGACGACTTTTAGATCCTTTCCGGAACCCAAACCCAAACTCAAACTCAACTCACACTAACCACCTAACCCAATGTTGCCATTTACTTTTTTGTTTCTCATAATTTGACTAACTTACATACGTTCACTGAATATTATTTTACTTAACAAAACATGTCTTAAATATTTAGTGTAACACTTACTTAACAATGTTATTCATTTTTATACTTTTATGATTTACTTTTGTAATATTTTAGTTTTAACTTAATTAAGAACTCTAAGAAAATGTATGAAAGATTGTTGTCGTTTACACAACATATTTATTTCTTAAACACCAATTTATAAACCTATAAAAAAGGCTTTGTGTAAAGAACTTTGACCGCAGGAACCGTTCATTTTTAATAACTTTGTGAATAGTTGCTTCTAAAGTTCTGAATGTCAAGAATAAACTCAATCAAAAATCATGAATTAACAAATTGCATTTAGTTTTATTTAGCAAAATACATGAGTTACCCCTGTAATCATAAATTGTATGCCTAATTTTTCTTACTCCACTAAAAATCATAATTTTCATTTTAAACGAATTCTCCCTTCGCTTAAGAAACTATAATAACAGCAATTGTGAACATTTCCCTTATGGGAAAGTTTCACGTGGATTGCATGCTTGCGTGCACGACAAGAATGCTTTTTAAAATTCAACTTAATTCATTAGCAGAAATCGACAAGAAGCCGTATAATTATACAAATAAAAACGCATTAACAACCTGTGGCCAAAGTCATATGTTACATGGAAAATCCATTAAAATCTTAATTTATTTGGGTCAATTCATAATTCAAGGTAGCAGGTAGTGATAAAAACAAGTTGAATAAGTTCCCTTTTTTTGTAAATGCTTCTTTATAAATTTAAGTAAATATCCGCATAAATAGGATAATATATTTATAATATATTTGGAAGCCCAAGCAGCTATGGCTGCCACTCCTTCTGTAGCCTAAATAAATAAATATCTACAATTTATGCGGAGACTTACTTACATTTTATCTGTTCAAAAATAGTTTTTAAACATCTTTGGCAATACAATTTTATTTTAAACTAAAAGACAATGGAACAAATTACCGATTGCTGTATTCTCTGAATTTTTCCATCTCGTTTTCTCTGCTGCTGGGCTGTCATGTCACGTTATGTCCTCAGTGTAAACACACCAGGAAATCAAACCCGAAAACACGCACCTTGGCAACGCCTCCAAGCATGCATGCATCGCGAATTCGAAAAACAAACACAAAATAATAAAAACATTTGTAATTTTTGGCCAAACGAAAATGTCACGTGGCAAATTGCTGCTGGGTGAAAATGTGCTCCAGCCAAGGAGCGGGGTAAAAATCGGCTTGCGGTGGTAGAGTTAAGTGAGTGTGAGGTAGGTGTAAGGAAAATCGAGTTTTCCGAGCACATGCTTGACACGAACCCTTCCTCCTTTCTTACACCACCGCGGACACACGACAGGCGGCTTTATTACTCACATTTGTTTGGTCTTAACTAATTTAATGTGTAATATCATTTGACATATTGTTTTCATGTTTCTGCCTTTGATTTGTGGCCCTGTAAGGGGTTTCTCGTTATTTGTGTGCTCCGTTTTCACCCCCATCGTGTCTGAGCCTCACACACATGCAAATAGTTGGCGCCTAAGGGAGGCGCCATTTTGACAGTTACCACCTATAGCGAAAAACCCTCTAAAAACTTATTTGTGTATGAAAATAGGATTTTATTTGGTCTAGGCTAGAGATGGGCTTTAAGATGGAATTAAAATTTTAAGACTGTATTACAGCTCGAAGCCTATGAGTATAATATAAAATTTAAGTTAAGATATCAAGCGTATAAACAAAACATTTTCTAACACTTTAATTTATAATTTATTATTTCGTTAAACACTTTTTTTTCAATTTAACCTGTAATAAATTATCTATATATATGATTAAAATTATTTAAATCTAAAACTTACTTAAAATAATATTACATTATATGTTCTACACTGATATATTTATGCATAAACTTTTTTTTAACTTATAGACAATTTCTTGTGGCCCGAATATTTACCTTTTCATGCTTCCTTCTCTAATTTCATTCACAGAAAAGCAAACATTGCGTAAATTTTTTATAACCCACTGAGTATGACATTTAATGTTTACTGCTTTCGCAATTTGCCACTTTTGCTTCTTTTTACGTGGTCTCCGTTTGTTCTAGGCACTTTATGGCTATTTTAAAAAACTTTGGCATTTGCGTGCCTGCAATTGCGGCTAAGTAAAATACCGAAATACCAAATCGTTCATTGACTTTAAAGCGCGTGTTGCAATGCAATTAGCTCGGGGTAAATGTTGCATTTGCATGTGGCATTCAATTAGTTGGGCGGTGGGCGTGATGAAGCTCCAGATGAGGCAGAGATAATATAAATCGTCATCGGGGCTCATATAATAATTATTCATCCCCAACGGAAAAAATTCTCAACTGAAAGTGAAATGACTCTGTTCTAATACGCGACAAAACAAACAAAACATAATAATAAACAAAACTAAACAAAACAATAAAATGCTGTAACAAAACATCAGCAGTGGTAAACAAATAGAAGTGGAAAACAAAACTCTGAGAGAGGTTTTTCATTTATTAAAGTGGCCATGAGTGGGTGGTTGGATGATATGAGCTTTGGACACGTAAACAAATAATGCCAGCATAGTGAACACGAGGATGTTGCACGAGGTCTAGAAAAGGACTGAGAAAGCAGCACAGCTTTTGTGTGGCTAAAGGTAAAGTGACAATAGAATGCGTGAGCCAAATGAAAGAAAATGAAAAAATAAGGGAAATGCTCTAAGAAAATGTTTACTTAGGCTTTTCTTAAATGCATGCACAATACTCACACCGTTCTAAGGGTTTAAAACAGGATTTAAAAATAAATGTTTCTTAAAATTGTGGGTTTATTAAAAATAATGAATAATATATTTATGCAAATGCAAATCTCTTACAAAAACCTTTAAGGGTATACTTTTTACAACAATTTTAAAAATTGTGTCCTGCAAAATCGAACATAATTGTACCTATAGTTATATGAGCTTACAATTTTTTATGTTAAGTCATCTTAATTGATTTCCAATCAGATCTTTATTGCATTTTTTATGTTGGAACTAGATTTTCGCTACATTTTTATATTATGTACTTAAAAATGTATGTATTTAATCTGAAGGTCACTTTCTTTAGTTTTCTCAAGTACATATTCTCTTCTTCTTCCGAATTCAACCAACAGCCAACAAAAGCAATTGAAAAGAATGCTGCGCTGTATTTTCTTCTGGCCTTAGAAAAAGAAAAGCGCACCTACACCCATATTTTTCTATTTTTTTCCTCCCACTTTTCCACCACTCCAGTCTATTTATAGCCCAAGCCTGCATTGCATTTCACTTTGCAGCGTTCTCTGTGTTTGTATCATTTCAATTGTTGCTGCTGCTTTTTGCTCTTGCTGTACTGTTGTTTGTTTATCCAGCAACCACCAACCACTCACCACACCCGAAACACACACACACAACATTTCTTTATTCGTGGGTGTGTGTGACCCAGGAAAAGCTAATTTACCTCCTGGCTGAGGGACATTCAAGGATAACCCAGTGAAAGAGCTCAGCTCCCGCGACTTTTTGTTAGGTTTTGTTCTAGTGAAATCGAAATCCAACAGACAGGGGCAGCTCATGCATTTTTCTGCACACTACAAGAAAAAGGTTTCGAAATATACATTTTACAAATAATAACTTGAGATTAGTACTTAGCATTATGTAAATAAATATTTTTGGATAAATAAAGATTAATATAAAAGATAGTATAATTAAATTAAATATACAATTATAAATTCAATATTTATAAAGTATTGCAATTTTAGAATAATTAATTTAAATGAAACAAAAGTTCTTATAATTAAAGCTAATTTTTTTTCTAAGTGTTTCTAAGTGTATAGGGGAGACTGGAAGCGTCAGATGTCCTATGTTTGCCATTTGCATAGTTGCAATTTGAGCTGAGCTCAACATGCATTTGTGTCATGTGTGTCCGCATACTTTTCACCTTTATTGTTTTATGAAAATTTTATTTGCAAAAAATATGTTAAATATTTGTGTGGGTGTGTCAGCTGGCTTGAGTTGACTTGCAACTGTTCACTTTTATCAAATTTAAATAAAAATAGAAAGTTCCATATAAATTACATGCACGAGTTGTGCGCCCACTGAAAAGGGAGACGATGACTCTGCGCAAATATTTGCGAATACATAAAATTGTTTCATAGTTAGAGTAGAATTCTGTAAAATAATGCATTTTGAAACGTTCAAAAAACGGAATATATTAAGTTGTATTTGCAAATATTTGCCTATTTATTTTTCCTAAACAGTTAATATACTGATTTTTAATATTTTTCCAATTCGAAACAAATACACTAAATATTGAATTAGGCAATACATGAAAATAAATAGCAACTAAACAAATGCTAGACTAAAATAAAATTAGGATGGGGGATTTTACAGGGTCGCTGCATAAGCATAAATATTACATTTCCAATTTTAATGAGCGTCAATCAAGTAAACAAATAACAAACTTTCAACCAGCCAAATAAATTGTGTGTAATTTGTTAGCAGAAACCAAAAATTGATGAGGGGATAACTGCATGGAAAAATTGCTGGTATGGCCACTCGGCCCTTTTGATTATATTTTCACCCGATGTTTGTTGGTTTTATTTTCCTTATTTTATTGTATTCAAGTGCGGTTTGTTCCCTGGAAAATAACTCAGCTCGTTAACTGCACAAATAACATGTCAGCACTTTTCCTTTTCTCCCTCTGGTTTTCAACCTCTGGTTGCCGCAAATTTGCGGAGTCCCCGCCATGGATTCAGTTCACTTTTGGTCTGGCCATCATTACTCAAGAGTCCTTAAAGTCGGGGCAAATAAAAATAATAAAAAAAAGGAAGCACGAGCAGCAAAAACACACGGCACATGGCC